GCAACCACTCTGGAAATCAGTCTGGTGATTCCTCAGAAAATTGGACATAGAATTACCTGAGGACCCAGCTATACCACTCCTGGGCCTATACCCAGAAGATGCTCCAACATATAACAAGGACACATGGTCATAGCAGCCTTATTTATAATAGCCAGAAACTGGAAAGAACCCAGATGTCCTTCAACAGAGGAATGGATACAGAAAATGTGGTACATTTACACAATGGAGTATTACTTGGCTATTAAAAACAATGAATTTGAGACATTCTTAGGCAAATGGCTGAATCTAGAAAATATCATCCTGAGTGAGGTAACCCAATCACAAAAGAACACACATGGTATGTACTCATTGATAATTGGATATTAGCCCAAAAGTTTGCAATATCCAAGATACAACTCAAAGATCACATGAAGCTCATGAACAAGGAAGACCAAAGTGTGGGTGCTTTGGCCCTTCTTAGAAGGGGTAACAAATACTCATGGGAGCAAGTGTGGAGACAAAGCGTGGGACAGAAACTGAAGGAGGGGCTGTCCAGAGACTGTTCCACCTAGGTATCCATCCCTTGTGCATTCACCAAAGGTAGACACTGATGTGGATGCCAGGAAGTGCATGTTGACGGGAGCCTGATATAGCTGTCTCCTTAGAGGTCTGCCAGAGCCTGAAATATACAGAGGTGGAAGCTCACAGCTAACCATTGAGCTGATCATGGGGTTCCCAATGGAGGAGTGAGAGAGAAGACTGAAGGAGCTGAATGGGTTTTTGGTCCCATGAGGAGAGCAACAATACCAACCAACCACAGCTCCCAGGGTCTAAACCACCAGCCTGGGAGCACATAGGGAGGGGCCCATGGCTCCAGCTGTGTATGTAGGGGAGGATGACAGTGTCAGACATAGGTGGGTGAGGAAGTCCTTGGTCCAGTGAAGGCTGGACGCCCCAGTGTGGCGGAAATCATGGGTGGGGAGGTAGAAGGGTGAGTGGGGGCATATCCTCATAGAAGCAGGAGAAGGGGGGATAGGATGGGGGTTCCTGGGTGGGGGGGAGGGGATTACATCTGAAATGTAAATAAAATATCCAATAAAATTTTTTTTTAAAAAATAAAGCTCTTTGGTCTGGAACCCTGATTGTGTATATGTGAAAACCTAAATAATTAGCACACACATTGGATTAAACAAATGAACTCACCAAGGTTGCTAGATATAAGGCCAATGTACAAAAAGAAATTGTGTTTTCCTACAGCAGCAACAAACACAATAGGAAAACACAACCACACCGAGACAGTAGCAGCAGTACACATCACTTCACCAAGAATAAATGTAACACTAGCAATGTGTGTACACAGAAGTAATTATAAATGGGAGAGACTCAAATTTGTAAAAGCTATCAACCGTTGATAGGTTTATGAACACTACCATTTAATTAAAATCTAAAATATACAGTTTGAGCAGGTTATATTTAGGAATATATGTATATACATATACATACACATACATATATGCATGCAATAGCAATTAATGAAGGAAGAGACCATGAGTTTGAGGGAGAGCAAGAAGGTTAAATAGCCAAATTTGTAAGGAGGAAAAGGAAGGGAGAAAATGCAATAATTACATTAATCTTAATTTTTTAATTAACAAAACCTAAAACACTATTTTGTAAAAGCGAATGCACTGATGTTAAAATCCATGTAAAAATGTGAAGTACCACAGAAGGCAAGAATTCAAAGGAGAACTCGGAAAGGAATTCTGCTGTATCATCAACATGGTGTCCAGCTAAAGTAGAGCTAAGTTTCAGAAAGCTTGCTGTAAAAATGAGCAATTTAGTTATGAAATTGTGTACGAGTGCAGTGGAATTATTACTCTCCATCACGGGAGAACTGTAGGGCTAGAGAGTTTGCAGACAACTTTCAAGACCACACTACTGTCACAATAAATACGAGGTAAACAGAGCCCGCCATACAACAAAGTGCTCAGAAACAGAGCTACATGCAAATATCGGTCTGACTGAAGTCACAGCTGGCATGCATAGTGAGGAAGAGAAGACAGGTGAACCATGAATCCACATAGAGAAAAATTAAATTAAACGTGGCCCCAACTAACACTATGCACTTAAAAGAAAAAACTCAACAAAGGACTGATGATAAAGCTTATCACTGAAGATGCTTGCATCCAAGCCTGGGGAAGATCCTCAGGATTTCACATGATGAAGAGCAAAAACTGAGCCCCACAATTTGCCCTGACTTCTACATGTATGCCATGGCAGGCAGGAGTACACATACACACACACTCATGCAATGACCAACAAGCAAACTCAAGAGGCACCAACACTATCAGTCATCAGGAAATGGAACAGTCTCTCCTCTGAAAAGCCAACACTGCAGGGAACAAGGTTGCAGGGAGCTGGGCAGCAGGGAGCTGGGCAGCAGGGAGCTGGGCTGCAGGGAGCTGGACTGCAGGGAGCTCAGCGGAAAGCCCTTTTTCAGGTTTTATTCCCAGCACTGAAGAATGAAGGGAAAGGAGGGACAGCCAGTTAACCACATCCTTCCCTATCAGATACAGAAACGTTGGAATGCTAGCACTGATCATATTCATAGGATCCAACTGCTTCATTCTTTTGCTGAACGTTCTACAAGAATCTAAGCATGTAGAACCCAAATGATGTGCCCAAGAACTGGTGTGCCCAAGAACTGGTGTGCTCAAGAAATGGTGTGCTCAAGAAATAGTGTGCACACGAAGTGGTGTGCACAAGAAGGCTCCCACCAGCTTCTAACTGGAAAGAGCTCGACACTCTGAGGGTAATAATGAAGTGCTACAGAATAGTTCAAATGGGTGATTTACCTGAAAGCGCAGAGTGTAGTGTGGATGTTTCTCACAGGTTTATTATTGGTCCAAAGAGGCTAACTACAAAATACTACACACAGATAATTCCAATATGAAGTTCAGAAACAAGAAGAACTACTGTGAGATCCTGTGAATTAGGAAAGTAGTGATCTGGTGATCCTGAACATGAGCAAGGCACAGAGTTTGGTGGTTGGTTGGTTGGTTGGTTGGTTGGTTGGTTGGTTGGTTGGTTGGTTTTACAGTTACAGAGGCAGTGTTTGGAGCTATTGGTAATAGTTAATCTAGACCTTTGTGGTAAGTGCAATTAAATATGTATTCACTTTCCCATGATCATTGTCTACCTGTCGGTCATTCATCTATCTTCTACATATATATGTTAAGCTTCAATAAAAATATTTTAATGCATTTCAGTTGGCTCCCAGGACCTTAAAGAAACGTGTAAAATCTCCTATAAGCTAGCAATAAAACAGGGGGAAAATTAACAGAGAAATGCAGCTAAAGACATGGGTACATCTGATTCAAAAATGGACAATAAACTCAACAAATGGTAAATGGCCAGTCAGATTAGTAATTACTGAGGATAGCTAAACTGCCCAATTTCATTGCTCATCACATTGATTTGATTTAATTATTTTTTTTTGAGACAGGGTCTCAACAGCCCTGGCTGTTCTGGAACTCTCCCTGTAGACCAGGCTAGCCTTAAATTCATAAAGATCCACCTGCTTTCCTAATTTAGACAATCTCACAATACTTCCAATCCCCTTGTCAAATTGATTTTGTTTACATACAAGTTATCATCCTAAGCTCACAAGAAATAGGTGACAGTCCTACTGAGTTGAACTAATATAAGGTTTTGGAAGCAATTTGTGATGTCAGTGGAACCCTGAATTATCTATTTGCGTCTTTAGAATCTGGCAATTCTAGGGGTGGTGATCAAGCTCCCTTGAGAACCTCACACTCTGTCAAAGGTGCACAAGACAGGTGTAAGGATGCTCCATCCACACTCCACACAGGGAGGCAAAGAGTATGAACACGTAGCTGATAGAGATGACCACAAAGAGCCAAGCAGGCTTTCTGAGAAGACAAAAGACTTCATCTGGAAGAAGAAGCTGCTCATGCAAAGGGGCTTATACCAGGTTAGGGAGAGAGAGGATGAGAGAGTCTATATCCTGTAATGAGGACCAAACTCGATCTCTTCTGCAGAAGTAGACAGACAAGAAGAGAAGAGGTGATAAATAACTTGGCAGTATGGATGAAACCTTCAAGTTTCATTCCCTAGGAAACAAAATCCTACCAAAATTCAGCACAGGAAAAAGTAAGACATTTGAATAATCCTGCACCACAGACAAAATGGGGGATGGGATCAAGACCCACAAAGCAGCAATGGTTCTCAACCTGGGGGTCATGACCCCCCACAGGGGTTACATATCAGACATTTCTGTTACAATTCGTAATGGTAACAAAACTACAGTTGTGAAGTAGCAACAAAAATGATTGTATGGTTGGGGAGTCGCTACAATGTGAGGAACTGTATTGAAGGGTCACAGTGTTAGGAAGGCTGCCACAATGGAAAGTCAAGGCTGGACTGGGACCAGGGAGCTGAGCTGCAGTGTCTAGCCATGCCTTGTGGAAACAAAGCCAGGTACAAGTGAAAAACAGGATGAAGAAAGAGGAGCATGGGAAACTCTGTTCACATTTCAAAGGGGAACAGCTAAGATACAACTGAGTTTTCAAATGCAGTGTTATATGAGGCTGTGTGTGACAGGAGTCAATAGTGGCTGCTGTTGCTGGGAACTAAGTCTGGTGAGTAACCAAGCAAAGATGGCAGGAGTTTTTCTTAGGCATGAATTTGTGTAATTTGTAATTTGCAAAGCACCAGACATCAGAGCCATTCTAACAAACCAAGGTGAATAACAAAAAGACAACAGGAGCTTGAAAAATGGAAAATTCTGAGTATAGAGAAGATACAACAACACTGCAAAACAATAACAACTATAAGTTTAAAGTAATTAACAGGATTACCAACTCAGGAGTACCAACTGTATACCAAATCTGCCCTGAAGGATTCTATTTACCCTTGGGGGAAAAGTAGGTTTTATATAAGAGGAGGAAACATTATCAAGAGAGGATTTCATTGTTGTTTTGTTTTGTTTTGTTTTGTTTTACCTTATACCACTTTATTGAATCCAGAACACAACTGTCTGGGAAGTAGAGATGACACACCAGATTGCCGGATTTTCCTATGGATAACGTTTGCTGGTACTCATCTAATGAATTTATGGAACTCTCCTCCATGGAAGAGTCACACCAGTGTTTTTTGAAAATGGTTAGGTTCACACCTATTCGGTAGCAGCTGTGGGCATTCCTGTAAAGCAAAAAAAAATAAGCAAAACAACAATGAAACACGGCAGGATGGAGCCAATGAACCCTTAAGCAGTCTCAGAATTCAGTCAGCCATTTTTACATCTTTGTTTATTATTTTCTAGACACCGCACAAACCCTCTGCCTCATATGAAGTAAAGAGTAACCCATAAACCATGCATTACCTAAGGATAAGTTATATTTATGCAAGTTACACACTGGCATCTCATTCAGCATGACCCAGGAGGGGCTGACAGTCACCATGAGTGTCTTGGCCTCAAAAGTCACCTGCACTTACTCACAAAGACACATCTGATAACCCAAAGGATTGGTTAAATACAAAACAGCTGCCTATATCCCTTAAAACTATCGACAGCATAAAATTAAACGCTGAGAGATGCTGCAGATTAACAGAGATTAAAGGCGTGTGGAACACACCTGATTTGCAAGTGGAAAAACCAAGAACTAGAGCATAATATATTGTCAATCAAGCTTGCGTGGAAAGTCAGAATTATAATTCTCTGGCCGAATGTGTTTTATGGGTGGGTTTTACTGAAGTCTTGAAAATCTTTATAAACTGAAAAGGAGAAGGAGAGGGAGAGAGGGCGGAAGAGGGGAGGACTAGAGAGAGAGAGAGAGGCAGAGCGAGACAGAGTCAGGGAAAGAAAGACAGAGACAGAAAGAAAGAAAAAGAAAGAAAGAAAGAAAGAAAGAAAGAAAGGAGGGAGGGAGGGAG